TTTTTTTTTTTACGGAAACTTAAAAAAAAATATTCAATTTTTGTTTAAAATGAAACTAAAAATGTTGAGATAAATTATCCAAGTTTTCCATATTGTTTTACAAGCACAAAAATCTTCCTTTACAAGCACAAAAATCTTCCTTTACAAGCATAAAAATTTCCATTTTGTGCCGTTCTTTTTTCGCTTGAATCTAAATTGGTTGCCAATTATCGTTTTCCAACGAATCATGTACGTTGCGTGTTGCGTATTTTAATACATCGTTTAACTTGTGTGTAGTATCTTCGCCTGAAGAATGCGCACGAGATTGCAGAGACAATGGAGAGCCTAAAGATTGCTATTACCACTTTCACATTGAATTCTACACAACAGAAGGACCGTACGTATCAATATTTTCGACAAGAATTCGCTTTAATATTCTTTTTTCTTTAAAAAAAAATCACGCGAAATAAAATAAACGAAGTTTAAATCATATGAAATATCTATATTTTCAGTGCTTGTAACTCTTCCGCTTTCTTGGATCAGTGTATTATAGGGGATGGATTCGAAAAGACGTTAATACCCATAAATCGACAGTTGCCAGGACCATTGATCAAGGTAAATTTATATAATAAGATACTAAGAAGCAATTTCCTTTTCATACTTCTTCTACTTTCAAATAACAAGCTAATCTTTCATGAATTACTACGCGTATAAGATTTGATGCAATTATTCTGCAGGTATGTGTCAATGATCGCATTATAGTGGACGTGGAGAATGCTGCTCCAGGGAATGAAGTTACAATGCATTGGCATGGAATTTTCCAAAATGGTTATCAATATTACGATGGTGTTCCTTATGTTACCCAATGTCCAATACCATCTTCTTCGACATTTAGGTAAATGCTAGATATACCATATATCTTGCTGTTTTCTCATGTTATGATAAACATTATTAATTTTGAAATTTATTTCTCACACTATTTAAGAAAATACATATGTACTGTCCTTCCTTTCTCTTCATTGGAATGGAATTAATTCAAATATTTTACGATATTCTGTTCTAGATATAATTTCAGAGTGGAGAATTCGGGCACGCATTTTTACCATTCCCATGTATCGACACACATGCTAGATGGACAATATGGTGGCCTTATCGTCAGAGATCCACCGTCTAAAGATCCTCATTATCAATTATTTGATAAAGATGAAATTATCATATTTCTAAGTGATTGGATGCATGAATTATCGTTAGAACGTTTTCCTGGTCGGTATAAGCACGACATAACACAAGCTGCCCAAAATATACTTATAAATGGCTTAGGACAGGCAAGGGTGCGTTCACGAAGGGTGCTTTTAGTATTGAAAGATTATGCTTTTTTATAGTATTTATTAGCAGCAAATTTTTTAGCTATTAAATAATTATAATTGTTTTTAGGATCCAGTTAACATTGCCGCGGGCCAGATTACCAATGGACTGTTAACGGAATATACCGTCAAAAAGGGAGAACGACATAGAATACGATTGATCAATTCTTTTACGACAGTGTGCTTGGCAGAACTTAGAATCGAACAACACGAATTAGTGGTAATTGCTCAAGACGGTGCAAACGTGAAACCTAAACCAGTGGATAAAATAATCACGGCTGCAGGTTTGATAAATCCCAAATTATAATTTTAAACGATCCAAAATGTAGACAAATAATTAAAAAGGAACGAAGACGTTTCTAATATTTTTTGGTTTTATATAGGCTGGTTCGTAACTAATAGTTCTATGAGACATAAGTCGAATACAGACACAAGTAAATAAACTTTTTCGTTTTTGAGAAAATTAACTCACACAAGTTTTATCTATTACTATACATTTAAGTAAAGTTTCATGTCCTGATCGTATCTCGTAGTAGACTAATATTGCTTACAATGCCTATTTTTAACATAAAATTCTAATGTTTAGAAAATATATTGAAATCTTATTACGTACTTCAAAAATCGTTGGAAATTTTTCCCATCACGTTCAATGCACAATTTTACTTTTTCTATCAAGTTCCTACGAAACACTATGTAACAAGTTTTTTTAATTGATCAATGCTTGTAATTGCAATTGATTTATGATATAAATAAAAATCTAGAAGATTTAAATCAAGAGATGATAGTAGCCAAATTATTATTGTGCCACTACCATCAATTCAAATACGATAGTGTACATTCAAAAAGTTTTTACACTTAATTAGACTTAATTAAACGTTTAGTGCTAGATGAAAGTTTATTTTCTCGAAAACGAAGCATCGGACGGAAAAATTTTGTCATGAAATCACCCTGTACCCACTTGTACCAACAATTACGAACAACTCTGTGTAAATACACACTGATTTAAATAGAAAGATATATTTTATTCATTACATTAGCTTACATTTTACGTATTTTAAATGTATGTTGAAAATATATAGGTGAGCGCGTTGATTTCATTCTAACTGCAAATCAAGATGTTGATTCTTATTGGATACAAGTGCTTGGCCTGGGAGAATGCAACCAAACACAACGTATACAGCAGTTTGCTATCTTGCAATATGAAGGTGGTCCTAATTGGCCGACGAGACCACAGCCTTCTTACGAGGATGGAGAGAATGCAAAAGGTGTTGTAAGTATCGAAGCACATTTTTTTTTTTATTCACGTTAAATCAGTTTTCTAAGGAAAAAGTTTATTTTTGATTCTATTTTGAACTGTTACAAACTACTTTGGTTCTCGTGTATAAATTCATCAAACGTCGAAATTACGACGTTGACGTCTAAAAACCGTGATTGATTCGTTTGTTTTAGACGTATAATCCACTTGAGTCGAATTGCGATGCAAGTAACACGGATGTTTGTGTGAATCAATTAGAGGGCATAGATGTCGATCCCGATCTTTTGAATGTTGAACCAGATGAAAGGCACATATTGCCATTTTGGTTTTTCAATTATACTGAATATGGTAACGGAAAATTATTTGGATCAACAAACAAGTACCCTACCTTCTTTGGTAAATTATTGTTTTTTTATTGGTTATTTAGTTGTTTGATTCTTTTGAAGTCAATATGATGTATATACATATATATTCTTTTGGTAATTTTTCTGTATTAGAACTTCACTTTTTTGCGTACGAAAAACATTCGTACTCTTTTTTATTTATTTCCATTGAGCTAAAAGAACGCAAATTTTTCTTTCTTTTATTGTTATTTTTTATTTATACATTACGTTGTTTTGTTAAATATGTAAGAAATTTATTTTATTTCAGAACCAGATGAATACTCCGAGCTTATTTCAACTTTCAATGAAATCGCATTCGAGAATCCAGCATCGCCTTTACTAACGCAGCCTCGTTCTTATCAAACCATATGTAAGAAAAATGTACAAAATAGTTGTACTGAACCTTGCACGTGTACTCAAGTTATCCGTACAAAATTGGACAATATCGTGGAATTAATAATATATGACGCAGGTAGTATTTGTGTTTGTTAAAGAGTCGGAAAAAATAATTTTACAAATTTAATAATAAATAACAAATGATATTGCAGCACCACTGACAGACTTGCATCATCCATTCCACTTGCATGGCTATGAATTCAAAGTATTTACTGTAGGGCAGTTTTTACCTAGTAAAAATATTTCGAGAGCAGACATAGATAAAGTGATAAAAAACCACATACAACGTCTTCAAAATGGAGAATATGAAAATCCACCTGGTAAAGACACCGTTAAAATTCCAATGGGTGGATATGCAATTATACGTTTCAAGGCGAATAATCCAGGTAAAATATGAAATTATTTTCAAAATAACAATTTTACCATATATGGTTTTTTTTTTCTTATTTTTTAGGAAGTTAGATTTCCTTGGATATTTACCTCATTTAAAAACATTTAACATGAATGTTTGATCAGTATTAATTGAATTTACTTGAAATCTGTAACTTTGTAAGCGCTTAAAATAGTTCCGATGAAGGTGTTATAGTACATTGTTTTGTTATAGGTTGGTGGTTACTTCATTGCCACTTTACTTGGCATCATCTTACTGGAATGGAACTGGTCATTCAGGTAGGGGATAGAAGCGATCTTCCACCAGTTCCATTCAATTTCCCGGAATGTTCAAATTGGACACCAGCGTTACACATTTTGAACAATTTTTATGGTTTTAGATATCCTCAATAATTGATAATTTTATTCTTTATTATTCTTTTCAATATGCCAAAAGTTGTTTGAAAAGAATTTACCTTTTCAAGGATTCGTTTTCTTTATGTTTCACAGAAAAAGCTACAGACCGATCTTTTAAATAAAGACCGTGTATTGTGTAAATAAATATGATTAGTTAACTTAAAATAAATAGCAGAACATAAAACAAATATGTTACAATTTATGCGCTAAATTAATTTGTTTCGAACACCATATCCGGATGTTTGTTGCTTCCACAGGTAGGAAAGTCTAAAGGAACAGGTAAGAAACTTTCACGACTGCCTACCTTTAACAGAAACTGCATCACAGGTCTAGATATTCTTGGAGATATTGCTGTGCTTCGTGCTTCCCACAACCAATATCCTACAAATAGTAAATTAATTCATGTTGTTAGAACATTCACGAATTTCAACTGTAAATATAATATAACATAACAATTTTAAATGTAACAACTTCTACCTAAATTGTCAGTGAAGAGGCGAAGAATAACATATCCTTTATTTGGTACAACGAAGCTATCTTTCTGCGGTGGATTTAAAAAATTACGATGTAACTGTTTGTTACGGTCTAGAAGTATAATTTCTTCTTTGATAATTGCTCGCTGGAAACTATCTTTTCCCAGGACACTTGCGTTATAGCCATGTATGTGAAACGTATGGGAAACATTTCCACCAAAGCCTAAATGAAGAGTTGTTTTAAAGGAATAAAAGGAATAACGAGTTGATATCGAGTAGATATATTGGGATTACCTTCGTCTATTAGAACGATGTCAATATTTTTCTTGGGTGGAACTTCAATCATGTGAACACATTCGCAGAACAATGGTGTATCTGCACATTCTTTTGAACGCTTTTCGAAAGAACAAATCGCTTCCTCCGGTACATTTTCCGGTTGAGATAATAAAGGAGACATGGGATATTTAAACGACATGCGATTAATTTGTGCGATCTTTGCTCCTTCTTTCTTTGTACCTGAAATTTGTATTTACAGGTATAAATACAAATGTAACGAAATATACTTTTCACATATCTATATCTTATACTTATATCAAGATTATGTATATCGTATCGAACAGATTCAAACAAAATGATAATTACGATATTAGACCAGTATTATGAAATTTGTCAAAGTGACGAATTTCAGATTCCATTAATTATAATAAATTTATAATATAGTATATATGTTATAATACGTAGTATTTATTACACTAAAAATTGATTCTAATGATTAACAAACTTTTCGTGTCCTTACTTAGATCAGACGGATAGAAAGGGCATCCGTAAAAATTATACTTATAGTCGGACATTTCGTCCGTAAAGTAGGAAAAAGCATTTACGTCGAATGGTATATAAATAACTTCGTTCGAGTTAATCGTCTCGACTTCTTTCGATCCCTTTAAATCCAACGCACAAATGAAATTCTTTGATATTTCATGACAACCATGGCCCTTGTTTGCAATTGCGTAGTCATTGATTTTCAATAGTTTGTCGTCCTTTATCACGGCGGACTCTGGTTTTGTGTTATCGTAAAGAATGAAAGCTTCCTGACGAAGGTTTTGACAGTCCAGAAGGCCCTCTATGTCGACGTGATATTTTCCAGGAGGTTGATTCGCTTCGACAATCACGTCAAATCTCTCGCCTGAAATGAAATGTCAATAGTAGAAAAGTTATTAAAAAACAATGAGGTTACTGTTATTATTCTGTGTCTTATTTTTATTCAAATCTGATAACATCGTTGTATATTGTACTGAACTTACAAAAAGAGTAATAATAAAGTTAGTCTAATTCAGTTGCTAATAAAGTTAGTTGAATTCATTTGCGATAACATGTATATAAAAGAAAAAAACATGAATCACGGCAATAAAATTATGTTCATGCACAGAATAACATTAACTTTTTAATAACTGTGTACTTTCTTCTAGTAGATCAAAGATCTCAGTGTTACCTTTTCTTACAAGGAATTTTTATACTGTTTTATTAATACACTAATATTAATGTAATATATAATTATTATTTATTGGAAGAAAAATTTTGAGGTATTAGGCAGCGATTGCGTAAATTAATACTTCACATAGAACTCTCTTTATAACTTGTTCTACATTCTCATCTATTTCTCCTTCTTTTGCACATGAAAGATTGTGTTCTTTCAGAATACATGTTCGAGCATCATTAAAGTTAATATTCAATAAAAGCTTGGAACATGGGAAAATTGAAATAACAATTAGGAAAATTCTATTTTTCATAATTACTAATATCTATTCAATCTATTTACTATACTAAAAACAACTTTAAAAAATAATTGCAAATCTTAGTTTTATCATTTTTATTGTGATAGGTATTTCTGTGTCTATCAATCGTCAATTATTACTACACAATTACACTGTGACGTTTGTCAATTTTTATTTCCAAAATGCTCGCTCAAATATATGCCCTGAAAAGGATATATTTAAAAGTTTCTGAACTACCTGCTGTTCAAATTATCCATGTGTTCAAAATGAACAAGATGATTTGAAGTTATCTATGGCAAAAAAATTATTAAGATTTGAAGAAAGAGATTCGCTCGGAGGAGAAATTCATAATACCTATGCGTCTGACAATGACCCGAGGACTTCATAAAAACGTAAACTTACAAAGAAGTAAACTTACAGAGTATTTGATCATGCGAAGATTAGTTTCGAATAAGAATAATCTTAAAATTTAAAGGTTGTAAGTAAAGATTCTAAAAAAAATCACAATGATAGAAAAATATAAAACTATCGCAAAATGAGGAACAATACGTACATATTATAAAGACATACACCGGAGGCTATTGCATTTTGTGTATAATTATTACTATCTAATTTCTTTTCTGTATTACCTAACTACATATTAACAAAGAGCCTAATTTAATATGATATGAAATACAATACAGTTTGCTCTTAAGATAAAAATTAACGCAGTTAATTTAAAATGACTTATTTTCGATTTTACGGAGGGATTTTTTTCAATAAAAAATAATTCATTACCTATATATGTATAATTAATTACTACGCGTCCATTACTTAAAGCCCTGAAAGAATACCAACAGAATACATACACACCTACACAGTTGCTTACAATCTAAATTTAGATCATGAGACAAGTTACACAAATGACGAATATCGCTGTCATTTTAAAAAGTACGTTTAGTATCACAATATCTGCATTAAAATATTTCGCAACGATCAAATCGATATTTACAATCAGAGAGATCAACTTCCTTTCAAATGGACAAATTTTCACAACAAATTTGAGAGTTGCGTACAAATTCAAGAACATACATTGGAAGTGTAACAATGTTATTTACATAAATAAAAGAAGAAAACCTTTCTAATACATATTACAATATTTTTCTTGAAATTAAACGACTTTTACTAGTTTTAAACATGAATAAATTTTTTGTATTTCCAATAATTGGACAATCACGAATAGTTATAATTATGAACAGTTTAAACTGGATATATCCTACAATATATATTCATAAGCTCATCAATTTCCTTTTTTTAAATATTACAGCGAGTTTCGTTATTCCGTTCAACCTGACTCAAATGTCGTAGACTTTTGACTTATTTTCTCATTTAAAATCACATACCTACGTTCCATTTTATAATATTGTGCATAACGTTTGATCGATCAAAAATTGCTTAAAAAATATTTGATCATCCTGACGAACGAACAAAATTGTATTGCGAAAAATAGCATTGTTTAAAATACAGTCTTTTTTATAAATCGAATCCTGGACCGATATAACGTGCCTGTCAAAATATTTTTGATACGTAGAAGGCATTTATAATATTGAAAAATAATATAAATTCACCCTTTTATGACAGATCGCGCTTCTGGCTTTGAATTGCAAAATATTTTCTTCTAAATATTTTGCAAAGCTTATTTGATAATGCATTTTTGTACGTATATAATGAAACACCATTGTTAGAAGCACTTAGAAGCAATTTTTTCAACATTTCTTTAAATTCCACAAAATTCTACCACTTTTACAGAACAATAACTTTAACAATATTAGATTTTTCACCGAAATATTCAAGGTTATTCCCGGGGCCTTGAACGATTAATTCCCAGGAGAGAACTAATTTTAATTACGAAAAGATGTAACATTAAATATAAACAATTTTCTAAATGTCTCTAAATGGCTTATAAACTTTACTTCATATAAATGGTCTTTTTATCAACTAGACATTCAAATTTGCGAATTCAACTAGTAAATAGCGTATTAACTTGTATGTATTACTTTCTCGTTCTAGTCTCATTGTTCAATCGAGTACGAAATATTAATTCCAATAAATCATTCAAATACAAATTCATTACTATCCTCAATCATCGACAACGAATCTCACACAACTCGAACCTGATTTATAATTCAGTATGCATATAAATACGTGTAAATGTAATTCGAAATAGAGAACAGAGATGGAAATCATCAAGTAGACAGATAATAATTGTAAGCTTAATAAGCCAGAAACGCTAGGTCCTCGTAATAATCGTTTCTCGACGAACTTCGAATTAAATATAACACGCTAATACAATTCGAAAATGCGCCATCAAAACGGTCATACATTTAGAGTACCGTCCACGCTACTATTTAACAATAGTTCTCGTAATATTAAAACACGTATCTACATCTATCATGCTGCAATTACGCGCTAAACAGCGTTATTCGTTCGTTCCCGGTCAGTCGCAAGAGCATTGCCTCAGTTTCACAATCTCTCTAATATACCCCGTCTCGTACCTTGACACGAAACGTATACATGAACACACATCGTCGCTTTTGTCGACCAAAATAACGCGTTACAACAGTGCAGAAACTTTTTCTTTCGATGGAAAACAATTTCGCCACGATTGCGTGCAAACAATCGTCTTTCCTTCCCTCCCCCCTTTTAAACGTTGCATTTGTTAGCGACGTGTTTGCGCGTAAACGCCAATCTCCGCCTCGAACAGGATCTGATTGATCCTCAGCTTCGCCACGGATCTCGAGTACGAGTCGGGGATCTCCGCTAGCTGTACGGCGATGCTCTCGGCGAATTTCGCGAACTCCTCTTTCGTTCTTTTCCGTTCGTCGGCCGTCACCACCTCCAGCTTTGCCTGCTCGGACTCGTCCAAATCGCAGCTCGGGCTACAGTGATCCTGCAACGAGCCACCGTTGTACGCTTTCAAGCTCGAGCACGACGATTCCTCGGCGTCCTCGCTGAGCGACGCGTTCAGCGAGCCAGTCCCCGAACCGTTCGTTTCCTCGTTGCAGTCTATGAAGGTTATGCTCTCGGGATCGATGTCGCTGACTATGTACTCCTCTTGCAGCTTGGACGTCACCTCCTCAACTTTCTGCGAAGAGAAGAATATATTTCCATGTGTCTGTGTCACTCTGGCACGGTTTCTCGTCCCGCATATGCTTGCTCACATCATGCTGCGTACTGTATTTACGTTGGACGCGTGTGCGAGCGAAACCCAGTTGCATTCAGCATCCACCACGCACGGGACTGACGGGATATATGTATACATAGGATTTATCTCGTCGAAGGATAAGCAACTACGTAACTCGATTCTATACCCATTATCTGTGATTTTTTTTTTTGCTCGAGTGACTGGGGTTTTTGAACGTGAAATTGGCGAGGGTTCAAAAATCACAGCCTGTCCAGTTGCTAACGCGTTCGAGACTGCGTCGGTCCCTGCGGACCAACACCGCCCCGTTCGCCTGGCTTGCGTCGGTCCCGCGGGACCGACGCCTACAATATCCGTTTAGCCGGCGTCGGACATTATAGTGGACACTTTATTGAGTTTGAGAAATATTTGATTTTTATTAATATAAAAAATACACGTTCGG